ATACAAGCATCAAAACCATTTCTTTATTTTATTGTCTTCTTTTTTCGCCTTTACAACCTAACTCGAATGCGAAAAAATGATAGAGAAGTCAGCCGTGTCGATAGTTAGAAGACGCTTGCAAAGCAAGATGGCGTGTGAGCACGAGGACTTCTACTCAATAATGTCATGATTTCCTAGGACCATACGATCTTTACCCCCCTAAAATTTCTAGATCTTGATTTGACCAATGCGTGAAAGGGGTCTACAAGGTGTCCCCGACATCCGTAGCTTAATTGAATTAATGTGCATGTGGGTCATTGGTCCATACAATGTAGTAGGTGATGATCTAGTACTAGACAAACGATGGATCTTGTTGGATATTGCACTTGATGGTGCTGGATGGTTTCATAACTGCAATTGCTAAAAGATGACTTGGTGAATTTACCAGAAGAGCAAGCGGAAAATGAAGACAAAGAAGTAGATATCACGTTGAGGAGCTAAGTCAGCTGACCAATCCTGTCCAAAAGTTGAAAAGCAATCTTAGATCCCAGCATTCAATTGGGAAGAATAATCAATCTTTACTACGGGAAAGTGTAGCTCATTATAATTTCCGAGAAATCATGCCTAAAGTAGTTGAAAATAGGCCAAGTAAATCAGAAGTAGCACAGTTAATCTATTTAATAGTTGGAGAATTGCAGGCATGCAATGTAAATTTGAAGACCACTGATTCAATATTTGAATCGCCCATTGGAATTTTGACTCGCACCTTGCTTGAATCATGAGATGAATGGAATACTTTGTGGGCTTAAGATTTGCTGATCATGTCGAAAGAGAAAAAAGGTTACAATGGGCCTAAACGGGGAGACCCGACTACTTGGAGTTACATAAATGTTCTTGGTGAGCCCTTTTAAGCTAGTACTGTCTTCTTTCTTCTTGATCAGCTTCAACACACTTTACTTTAACCACGCATGTGAAAAGAAACAACACCATCAAGAACCTTCCCTTTTTTCTTGATTCTTTCTTAAGTTCGAGTATTATCGTCATCACTGCACTGTCTAGCTTCCAAAACTCTGCAAATTTAGCAAAGCTTATAAATTTGAAGAAAAGAAGCAGTTGGGCCTTTCTTTTAGCCACCTAACCACCTCTTCTTTTCTACTAAAAGAACCTTCTTCCCCTTCTCTAGCCATCGCTTCTGTGATACTAAATGTGGGTCTTCATCTGGATGTGAATTTTGTCACTTTGAGCAATACCCACGACTGGGTTCTTTAAAATGTTCCAGTTTCCACCCGTGCCTCTTCCTTTCTTTTTCTTTACTTGAAGCTGGACACTCTTCTTAAACTGAGCGGAGAGATAAAAAATGGGTATGCAAATGCAGTTGATTTTCATGCTGATGGGAGCACTTGTGCTCTGTCATTTGGTGTCGGTTCACGGATCTGCAGGTAATGGTTCGGTTGATTATTATCTTTGGCTCAATGTGCGTTGAGATTGAACTATGCACGAGCACATCGTGTTACCAGTTGGATCAGATGCAGGTCTCGATCATATTCTGTGTATGAACTGAAATTGAGCCTTATCTGAATTGTCTATGTCAGATGCTCACATTGTACCTCTTGATGGTTAGAATCGCCTCCGTCGCTCTGCAAGAGACAGGGAGAATTAGCGATAGGACAAAAAAAAACTGATAAATTAACAAAATTGGCTTAATATGGTGAAAATTAACAGATTGGCTTAATATTATGGGCATTTATATTCGAGCAATTTGTACGGGAGGTGTCCATTCGAGGGACATGTCCTCTTGCTTCTTGAATTCTCCCGATGATTGCGACAAACACTTTCTCGGGATGTTGTCCATCCTGCTAGTGCTCTTACTTGAGCACGCTTATCATTGAAGTTCCAATACTAGACTTACTGTTATGTCAAAATATGAGCTCTCTCTCTCTCTCTCTAATATTCTAGGAACGTTCTCCCCCTTTCGTTGTATAATTCGTTTCATTTCTGCCCTCATTTGATTTGCCATATTAGAAACCTACCAGAAGTCTATCCTTTTTCGAGCCCTCAGGCCCCGGTGATCACTTTCCACTCTCGCCGGACACCCAAAATGCTGTTCAAGTGACAACCCTCCACAAAAACCATCCACGAGACCATGCAAATTCCAAACATGAACGAAACCCGACATGTTTCAATCATGGCCGCCTGATCCTGTAATCCAAGTGATGTAGCAAGAAACTCGAGGATTGGGAATCGAACTCGTCCGTTCTCTTCCCCGTACTACCGAGCTTTCCACGAGGATCATCACGATTCACATGAAACTGTGAATCACCGACAGATGCTAGAGACATTATTAGTTTCGACAGCAGATCGGAAATTGCCCATGCTCGATAGTCCACGGTCAGCAAACGAATCTGCTGTCGTTTTGCCGAGACTGGTGTGGTGTTTCCAGCAACTCTGCATCTTATAAGAACGAAAGGTACCAAACCTGCGGTGCTGGTGTCAGAGTGGTGGGGACCTGCGAGTCGCTTCTCGCTTAGGATCATGGAAAATTATTTAATTATTGCGGGTGTATTTTTACCTTTGTTTTTGTTTATTTTGCCATAAATGAGTTGGCAGCTTCTTTGTCTTTATGCCGTCCAAAGAGATTGGTCTGGCCTTGAATTGACACATGGTGTGACTCTCCGGAAATTATTAAAAAATATGAATTAATATAACGAAAAACCTCAAATCAGTACACATGTGACAAATTTATCAAAAATTATTTTTTTATTATCAAAAAGCCCAAATATATATACTTGTGTCAAATTTACCCTATGTTAATTTTTATTAAATTGCATTAATACCATAAGAAACCACAAGCTGGTACACATGTGACAAATGGAGGGTAAAACCTTAAATCGATACACCCGTCAACTGTTACGTATTATCCAACTTAGCAATTTGACTGTAAAATTTAACGGAAACTAATGAAAGATAAATTCATCTACCAGTTTGGGGTCAAAAAATTAGTTTTTGGTAAGTTTCTCACAAGTCTATCAATTTTGAGTTTTTCGTGGTATTACCTCGTATTTTTATTCATAAATCAATTTAACATAAGATTAGCGATAGTTACATTACAAAGAAGGACAAATTCTTTGTTTTTTTTGTATTAATTTCTTGGACTTAAATCCGAATAAAACTGCCTTTTTTTCCCGATGGGTTTCCCAGCTTTACTTGTGACAAGGAACATGCACATGCCTTTTATGACATCATAATTACCACATGAATCTCCTTTCTGAAGGGAACTCGATTGCTTTCTCGATGTAATTCTTCTTTCAAGCTGGGTGGAGTCAAAAAGGAGAAAAAGAAATAAGTGATAATCACATCTACGAAATAAAACAAAAGCAGATGACGGGGTTTTTGCTTTTTCTTGTTTTTTTTTAAACTCTTTTCCCTTTTCTTAATGGTGACAAAAAGAAAGATGAAGAATGGAGGTTGTGGGACTAGTTAACTGATGAATAAACTAGCATGATTAATGCTAAGCATTGAATAATATTGCCTAATGCATATTAAAATTCTGTACAAGCATCGAAACCCATTTCTTTATTTTATTCTCTCTTCTTTTTTTGTTTTGGCCTTCCCAACCTAACCCGAATATAAAAAATGATGGAGAAGTCAGCCGTGTCAATAATTAGAAGACATTAAGGGCACAAATGATAACCATTCTGTTTCCGGACCCAATTTCTAGCAAGAAATAGATTTATATATTTTTTATTCCCTAGACAAGTTTCTGAGCAGCACATAAAATTTCTGTTCCAGGAACAGAAATTCATTTGAGAGCATCGATGTAGAATTTGTACATCGACATCGACGAGTGGCCGGCGGCGGTGCAGGAGGTAGGGTGAGGGTGAGCTCTAAAAAGAATTGTATTTTTACTTCTCATTTCCGTTCCAAATATATTTCTGAATTAAAAATTTATTTCGAAAATAAAAAAATGAAATTAAGTTGCTAAATAGATTTCTACTTTAAATCTATTTTCGAAAATAAAAAAATAGAGAAACGGAATGTTCCCATTCGCACCATTAAAAATCAAATGGCACATGAGTATGAAGACTTTTACTCAATAATGTCACACTTTCCTAGGACTTAAAGATCTTTGCCCCATAAATTTTCCAGATCTTGATTTGACCAATGCGTTCAAGGGGTCTACAAGATGTCCCCAACATCCGTAGCTTAATTGAATTACTGTGCATGTGGGTCATTCGTCCATACGATGTAGTAGGTGATGATTTAGTACTAGACTAATGATGGATCTTGCTGGATATATTGCACTCAATGGTGCAGAATGTTTTCATAGCTGCAATAAGCTAAAAAAAGATGACTTGGTGAATTTTACCTGAAGTGAAGAGCAAGAGGAAAAAAGAAGATAAACGAAGTAAAGCAAAAGCGCACATGAGAAAAAGACATCACGTTGGGGAGCTAAGTTGGCTGACCAATCATGTCCAAAAGTTGAAAAGCAATCTTAGATCCCAGCATTTAATTGGGAATAATTAGTTGATTTTTATTAAGTAACAAAAAAGTGTAGTTCATAATAACTTCCAAAGAATCATGCTCGAATCAACTGAAAAGAGGTCAAGCAAATCAACGTAGCGCCAACTTTTTTTTTGGGTCAGACACCGTTATTCTAGTTTAGTTGTTGAAAAATGATTTATGCGGCCGTATGATATGGATTCGATAACAATAGATTCGATATTTGAATCGCTCATTGGAATTTTGACTCGCATTTTACTTGAATTATGAAATCAATGGAATATTTTGTGGGCCTGAGATTTGCCAATCTTGTCGAAAGGGGGAAAGCTTGCAATGTGGCAAGGGTTGAGAAATCAAATGCTAGGTTTTGATAACTCGGGAGCCTAAACAAAGAGATTCCGACTACTTGAAGTTACATAAAACATCCAAAATCAGCATCCAAAATAGTACTGATCATGTGATAATCACTGCACGATACTACAACTCCATGACATTTCTTTGATGGACAAATCGCCTCTCTCTCTCTCGCATGTGAAAAACACTGTCACCAGCAAGAATGTTCTTGGTGAGCCCTTTTAAGCTAGTACTGTCTTCTTTCTGCTTGATCAGCTCCAACACACTTTACTTTAACCACGCATGTGAAAAGAAACAGCACCATCAAGGACCTTCCCTTTTTTCTTGATTCTTTCTTAAGTACGTGTATTATCGTCATCCCTGTCTAGCTTCCAAGACGCTGCAAATTTAGCGAAGCTTATATTGGTTTGAAGAAAAGAAGCAGTTAGGCTTTTCTTTTAGCCACCTAACCACCTCTTCTTTTCCACTAAAAGAATCTTCTTCTTCTTCTCTATCCATTGCTTCTGTGATACTAAACGTGGGTCTTCTTCTGCACTTGCTAACATTCGATGTGAATTTTGCCACTTCGAGCAATACCCATGATTTGGTTCTTCAAAATGTTCCAGTTTCCGATACTTCCTCTTCACTTCTTTTTCTTTACTTGAAACTAGATACTCTTCTCAAACTGAGCTGAGAGATAAAACAATGGGTATGCGAATGCAGTTCATTTTCATGCTGGGGGGAGTACTTGTACTCTGCAATTTGTTGTCGGGACACGGATCTGCAGGTAATGGTTCCGTTGATTATTATCTTTGGCTCAATGTGTATTCAGATTGAACTTTGTGTGACCACATCGTGTTCCCGGTTGGATCAGATGCAGATCCCAGTAAAATTCTGTGTATGAGCTGAAATTGAGCATTATCTGAATTGTCTATGCCAGAAGCTCACATTGTACCTCCTGATGGTTAGAATCACTTCCCGTGTGTAGGAAGCTAAATGTAGCTAAGCAAACTGATAAATTAACAGAATTGGCTTAATATGGTGAAAATTAACAGAATGTCTTCATATGGTGACTCAATATTCTAATTCAGAGAGTTCCATGAATATACCTTTTTTTTTTCATGCAACCTTTCTTTGATTCGTTTCTTATTTTACACTGTTGCTGTATGGTTGAGTTTGCAGTTTGCTTCCACTGCCCCGTGACTCCAATATCATTTCAAACAAAAATGTGATTAGAAGTTAGAACTGCATCAAGAGAAACAAGTTAATGAAGATCTATAATATGATCATAGGAAAATGCACCTTTAACTGTAGATTTTCAGTTGCTGTCTTATCAAATTCCGAGGCAATCCAATCTTTCTATTCTTTTCTAAGAAATCATCGACATATTATTTGCGACAATCCTTCAGGAAATCCCGCTTTGTCATCTTACTTATTGTTCCTTGTTTTTCTCCCATCGTAGATGTTGCTATGCACAAAATATTTAGACTTATGTTAATGATCTTTCGGTTGGATCTTCTCTACCAAATTCACAGACGATGACTCCTTTCCGGCTGCTAGTCCTCTTACCATCAGCGTACAAAGACACAGGAAGCCACTTGTTTCACACTCAAACAGGCCATTGCACTTTCCAGCATTTCTGCATGCACCACCCACTGAAGGTAACTGCAGAATAAATTATAAGCCTAAATGTGCAACATTTTATGCTGACGAATTGACTTCACGTGCCGCTGATCATCAATAACTAAGACTTGAATCCTACTGTAGCGCCATTCTTGCCGAAGGTCATAAAGCCTTCAAGTATTTCAGTTGCACCTTCTGTATCATCATTTACGGACGATGCCTCCTTTCCGGCGGCTAGTCCTATTACCATGAGCGCGCAAAGACACAGGAAGCCACTTGGTTCACACTCAAACAGGCCATTGCACTTTCCAGCATTTATGCATGAACCACCCACCAAAGGTAACTGCAGAATAAATTACAAGCCTGAATGTGCAACATTTTATGTTGACAAATTGACTTCATGTGCTGCTGATCGTCAATAACTAAGACTCGAGTCCTACTGTAGCCCCTACTTTGCCGAAGGTCATGAAGCCTTCAAGTATTTCAGTTGCACCTTCTGTATCATCTTTCCGAGGGCCTGTGAAGAAATGGATACACGGTTATGCTCATGCTCCTTCAGTATCATCTCATAAGCACCATCACCATGTCAGAAACCACTTCAGCGACTCTGCTCCACAGCATTCTCTGTTTCCACAGCACATTTACCACCGAGCAGGTTGATTCTGACTTCATAAGATCGGCTTTCCAGTGGATCATGTATACTTTAGTCCTCCTGGGTTTTATTTATTCATTTGGTAAATCTTTTGTAGTGTAGGCCCTTCTATTTCCCCAGTTCAATCTCCATTCCCTACTAATAGGAGATCACATTTGCCAGCGCCTGCTCCATCACCCACCATTCTGTTAAGCCAGTCTAATGGTATGTGAAGATAACTTTTTGCTCAGTTCTTGTATTGGGTTCGTCTGATATATGTCAATTATGCTAGTGACTACCATAATATGACCCTGTTTAATTTCTTGAAGAGCCTACTCTTCCACCTGAATTCTCCCCTTTCGGATCAGCAGAGAAAATGAAGACTCCACCGCCAAGACCACTTCTGACATTACCTCCTCCACCTCCTAATGAAGGTACATAATATTGCTCGTTACATTAGACTTCATGTAGCGTTAATTAGACTTGTTGCATTTTTAGTTTCTTTGTTGTCCTGAAAGAACAATAAAGCTGATGATATTCTGCACCTGATGCTGTGTAGATTGCGCGTCAATAACATGCACAGACCCATTAACGTACCCGCCTCCTGGAACTCCCTGTGGCTGTGTATGGCCAATTCAGGTGAAACTTCGGCTAGCAGTCGCGCTATACACATTCTTCCCTTTGGTTACAGAGCTTGCCAAGGAAATTGCTGCAAGTCTGTCCTTAGATCATAGCCAAGTGCGCATAATGGGAGCGAATTCAGCCAGTCCACAACTGGAAAAAACTACAGTTCTAATTAATTTGGTGCCACGAGGAGCAAAATTCGGGAATGATTCTGCATTTGCAATCTATACAAAATTCTTCCACAAGCAGGTTCAGATGGAGGCATCACAGTTCGGTGATTATGAAGTTCTATATGTTCACTATCCAGGTATTGTCATTGTGACGTCAGAATGTTATCTTAAGATGATATCAGGAAGATATGTTAATGCATATTCCTTTCTTCACATGTCACTCTTCTTAGAATTCTCATATTCTTTTACCAGCGTATACTGTATGGCTCAAAGATAACTTCTTTGAAGAATATAGCGTTTTAAAAAGTAGTTACTGTATGCCAAAGTATAGGTAGAACACGTTGCTAAAATATGATAATAGGAAGTTAATCTTCTTTAGAATATCTGCTTCGTACACTTATTCTTGTTACTTTTCAAACTTACCATATCTCCACAGGTCTTCCACCTTCACCACCTTCTAGCATCATTACCACCGACAGTTCACCATATACGGACAATGAGGACAAAGGCCCGGTGACAAAACCATTAGGAGTTAATGTGCCTAAGAGGAAAAGAGATGGGCCTAGTAGAAGCACGATCGCTGTACTAGTTCTATCATCTTTCATGGTATTAATCGTGTGCACAGTCATCACGTGGATACTGCTGAGAAAGTGTGAAGCTCGTCATCATCAATCTGAAAAGTCCCCACGGCCTCTCTCCCCAGCAAAACCTTCAGGTTCTACATCCTGCAGATTCACAGTGTCGAGGGTCAACCTTTATTCTCATTCTTTTTCAAAAAAAAAGTTCCTTCTCAATGCAGTGAAATTCAAAACTTTCCAAACGATCACATTGTTGAAATACTTTAATCACAAATAGGACTAATATTGTGTATTGTGTTGCTTGGCAGTTGCTAGCTAAAACTTCATATTACCATTGTCTTCCCTCATTCTTCACTTGACTGACCATGCATCATCTTCTTGTTGTGTGGCATTTCATAATTTCTTCCCGTCATAAACTTTCCACATCCTCAGCAGGTTCTGCTAAGCCTGTGATACAGAGAAGTTTGTCCAACTCAGCATCAACATCGTTGCACTCTAACGGAATCTTATATGCTGGATCTGCCAAAACATTCAGCTCAAACGACATAGAGAGATTCACCAACAATTTCGATTCTTCGCAAGTACTCGGAGAAGGCGGTTTCGGGATAGTCTACAGAGGCATATTAGACGATGGAGAGGAGGTGGCAGTGAAGGTTCTGAAGAGGGATGATCATCACGGAAGCCGTGAGTTCTTGTCAGAAGTGGAAATGCTGAGCCGTCTCCACCACAGAAACCTAGTCATTTTAATCGGCATATGCATGGAAGAACACATCCGCTGCGTCGTGTATGAACTCATACCGAATGGAAGTGTAGATTCCCATTTACATGGTAGATAGAACAAGTCTTTATATGCTTCAAACAAGAAAGTTAACAGGTTGAACTTGTTGGTTTTGGGGAACTTTTCTCATTTGGTATTATGTTGTGCTTAGGCTGTGACAAGGAGAATAATCCGCTTGACTGGGGCGCTAGAATGAAGATCGCACTGGGCGCGGCTCGAGGTTTGGCCTACCTCCATGAAGACTCGAGCCCTCATGTTATACATCGAGATTTCAAGTCCAGCAACATCTTGTTGGAGCCTGACTTCACGCCAAGAGTGTCCGACTTTGGATTGGCTAGAGCTGCTTTGGATGAGGGGAACAACAGACAAGTTTCTACCCATGTCATGGGGACTTTTGGGTATGAAAAATTTTCGCTTAAGTTCATGTTTAACATACTGTCGAATAATTGCTAGCGAAGATGACTTTAAAATAACTTGTCATACTAACTTGCCTCTATCGCTGCCTAATAAAACACGGCGATTGACTGAATATGATAAAAAGGCTGCAAAATTTCTAAAATAGAAGTAGATGATTATGTAGTTTGTGATATCTCGCCTTGGTAAAGTTTATCTTTATGTTGTCATCTTTCCAGCTACTTGGCACCAGAATATGCAATGACGGGCCATCTTCTAGTCAAAAGTGATGTTTATAGCTACGGGGTAGTCCTCCTTGAACTTCTAACCGGCAGGAAGCCAGTAGATCTCTCGCAACCGCCTGGCCAAGAGAATCTCGTTTCCTGGGCCCGGGCGCTCCTCACAGACAAGGAGGCCTTGCAAACAATCATCGACCCATCTGTGAGATCGAGCATGTCATTCGATAGCGTGGCCAAGGTGGCGGCAATAGCTTCGATGTGCGTGCAACCAGAGGCATCGCACCGTCCATTCATGGGTGAAGTGGTTCAAGCCTTGAAGCTAGTTATAAACGAGTTTGATGAAACGAAGGAGCTAAGTCTTGGAAGTTGCATAGGCCAAGAATCCTCTACTTGTGTTGATGGCAAAGTTAGCAAACTTCCACATGAATTCGTTGAAGCTCTATTGACAGGCGACAGTACACCAACCAAAGATTCTAACCATCTAGAACAAACGGGATGCTTCCGAGCATCAACAGGGATCGAGGACAAAGAAACCGGGTACTCCCCTAGGCATTGTAGCTCTAGCTCGGGCCCGTTGAGAGTGGGAAAGAGAAGGCAATTTTGGCAGAGACTCAGGAGCTTATCCAGAGGTAGCTTCAGCGAACATGAATTTGCCTTGAAGTTATGGCCAGATACGTTTTGATTAAGAACCACGTAAGCTCGCGTTCGCACCTTTGAGATTCTTGATGTGTAATGAACATGACCAGGGATGTGTTGTTGCTAGAGTAACCTAGATTACCCACTTTCTGGATTTTGATTTTGATTTGGAAGAACGAAAGTATGGGACACGGAATGCTATCTCCTCAGCCACCAGGCCCTTTGCCCCTAGACCCTCTTCGAAACCATACCATGGACCGACGTAAATGAACTAGCCAGGCTGCATTTTGTTGCTAAGAGCCATATCATCTTGCTCCAAAGGAAGACTTGCGTATATGGAAGCGTCTGTCGACCCTTGCGCAGTGGTGGCAAGCAGGCCCTCGCTTGCAACCAGGCGAGAATCACTGGCCAACCTAGCAATTGATCTCTCTCTCTCTCTCCACAGTTTCGATTCTAAATAAAGAACCCTTCTCATTCTTTAAATGCAATTCAAGCGCCTTAACATTTCGATCTCAAATGGAATAGTCATTTTTTGGTTCTCCACGAGTGCAATTCGTGTGTCTCGGTGGCTTGATCTCGAATCATATGATCCCTTTCTATAAAGAACCCGGATTTGAGGGCCTTGGAGGCTCAATCTTAAAATGGAGATGGTCGTGGACTTGATGATATGTTCATAGAGGTCTCATTGACTTAAATCCTATAGATTTGGTGTTTTTGCATTTTGAAGAACTTCTCGATATCTTTCGCAACTCCCCATACAGTCCTGAAATAATGGGAGGAGTCTTGATCGTCGCAATTGCTCCTTTTCGACCGATATTTACTTCAATATGAACAAATATCGAATCCGTCTTGAATTTAATATGGATGAATGTTAATTTAATTTAGCTCATCCGATTAACGGATATCTTCATTTGAGTTCAATTGTCCTACCCCTCACAAAAAAGAAGGAAAAATTACCAAAAAAGTCATAAACCTATTACAATTGTGCCAATTCAGTCCTAAACTTTTTTTTTTGGCCAATTCAATCCTAAACAATTTGCAATTGTACCAATTCAGTCCATCCGGCCACTTTTGGCCGGCCGGTGCTGACATGGACGCAGGCCGGTTGAAGTGGCATTATTTTAATAATTTTTTTTCTTATTTTTTTTATTTTTTTCCTTTCTCTTTTTTTTTTTCTTTCCTTCTTCCCCCTGGCCGGACCGGCCACGGGGAGGCTCGCCGGCCACTGGGGAGGCTCGCCCTCACCGGCACTGGCGAGGGCGAGCCTCACCCAACTCCAGCGAGCTCCGCCCTCACCTCACCCAGCGACGGCGACGCTCGCCCTCGCCGGCCCTAGCCTCTGAGTCTGGCCGGTTCGGCCACCGGAGGAAGAAGGAAAGGCAAAAAAAAAAAACAGAGAAAGGAAAAACATAAAAAAAATTTCGAGCTCCGCCATCGCCGGCCCTCGCCGTCGCATTGCCATGGTGAGGCTTGACCTCGCCAGATCTGGGCAAGGTCGAGCTCGCCCAGCGGCGGCGAGGGCGGCTCGCCATGGCTGGGTGAGCTCCACCCTCGTCGGAGCTGGACAAGCCTCCCCAATGGCCGGCAAGGTCACCTCGCTGGCCAGGGGGAAGAAGGAAATAAAAAAATAAAAATAAAAAAGAGAAAGGAAAAAAAATTCGAAAAAAAAATAAAAAATAATAATAATGCCACATTAGCCGGCCGGCGTCCAAGTCAGCGCCGGCCGGCCAAAAGTGGCCAGATGGACTGAATTGGCATAATTGCAAAAGATTTAGGACTGAATTGGCACAATTGCAATAGTTTTAAGATTTTTTTGGTAATTTTCCCCAAAAAAGAACTACAGAAGGTTGAAATATCTAAGCAGAATTTTGTAATTGCCTTAAGAGAACCGTGTGATTGGCTCAGAATTTCCACTGTTTACATGTACATTTGACAAACTCCATTAAAAATAAAATCATGCTAGCGAAGAGTATAATCTAAAGTACCTTCTCTAACTTATATCTTCGTTTTTCAAGTTTTAAGCTCAATAACAGGTAGAATCTTGACATGCTCTCTCTTTATTGGTTTTTTAACATTTGAACACAACGTCAATAAAATACGGAAACTGAGAGATGACAGGGTATGATTGAAGATCCAAAAGCTCCATGAAACAAAAGTTGCGCGCACGTTGTCCTGAGCTCCACGAAACAAAAGCTCCCCTTCATTATTATCCTTCTTGACAATCAAGCGCACACATGAGACGGTCTTACAGGCACATTCGCATTTTGCGCCATCTAAATTCGAGCACGCCGAATGCTCGCCCAAATAATGACAAATAATGACGACTACGATGACAAAGCACGACGAAATGAACAAAGATGACAGACGAAAAGCTACTACATGTTCTTTCTTTTCTGGTCTATTATAATGAGTAGCGTCTCTGTGATACAAAATTGCACTCAAAAAGTCTTCAAACCAGCACGACTCTTTCCAAGTCCCAAACGAGAAAAGGAAGCAAAGAAAAGGCGAAAACGAGAAACGCATCACTGCAACTTATCCATAAATTAATATCACAAGATTTAACTAGTGAATGGGGCTCGTTGCAAGACGCGCAACCTCCTCCAAGCGGCACTCTTGACAAAAATAAATGCCTTCAAATGTACTCCGTCTCGTCTCGCAATGATCGCAGCAAATATTCTTCGAGCATTCCACGCAATGCCTACCATTCTCGGAGTAGATTATAAGAATCTTCGATCTAATGCTAATGACTCCAGCACGACGACTTCCCATCTAATCATCTTTAGAAGGACTTGAATACTCAGCTTCTTGCTCCGACGTTATGTCCGAAGAAGCAGTGGAAGAAAGACCACTCGATGTTCCGACTCCATTGTGGAAGCTCTTCGGTGCGAGAGCAGGATTTCCGTGAGGATTATTTGATGCAGGTACTTGCCCTTCTTCTGCTAGTCTTTTGAGAAGGTTCATAATAGTGGGAACGAACTTGCTCGACAAGGATAGAAGCCCAGGAAGCTGCGACAGAGAAACCCACTAGGACATCAGAGCCTAAAACAACCTTGAGAATCAACAAAAGCAAAAAAGTAAACCGATACCAATCTGTTTATCATCAGAATGACATTGGTCAATCGATGACAACAATGAGAGCCGTGATCTTTAATGCGTGCCAAAAATTGATGATTGAATATCATCGCTTTCTCCAAACCTTTCAACTTGCAAGATCCTAAGCACCTAATTTACATTACAACCCACTGATTGCAATCTCATGAGTACCGAAGTTTTCTCAACTGTCCAGCTTCATCATTCAATCACTAACGAGAAAAGATGAAGCCCTTCCCACTTCATAAAAGATCGGAGATCGGATGTAAGTGTATGACAGTCTCTCTCTCGAAGAAAAATTATCATCTATGTTGGCAGATAACTCCCGATAATCCAAAATCAGATGGCAGAAAAATAATCAAACTAAACTGTTAACACTTACAGCGCCATGACGGAATTCGCCTGATACGTCAAGCTGCACCCATAGTGCTTTGACAAGTAAAAAGCCAACAAAAATGACGCCCAAATAGAAAGGATTTCTGCCGCCAAAAAACAAACATATGTCAAGCAAAAGCAACATTGGACACCGAAGAAGAATTGCAGAAGTAAAATACCTAAGAAGTGTCATAAATTCGTTAAACCCCAAAACAACCAACGCAACAATTGCCCATGGAGGTGGCAACCAGTTGTTGTTACGCTTGTTCGCTTCCTGATAATTCAAAAGAAGAGAGCAAATAATCAGATAGCTCCAGTAGCAAAAGAACTTCGTAAATGTCCGTCTATTACGGTAAGTTGACCACCTGGCATGGGAGTGAGATCCTTCAAATACACTACTTACTCAACATAAGCAAGTACATCTTTCTTTTGTGGAATTGAAAATATTTCTCAGCGCTCCAGCATTTCTTATATAGATAGTCTCAAACTCAAGTAGCGAGCAAATGTCTCCCTAGCGGTGCTTAGAATTGATCTTCATAATCCATTCAAATAGAAAAATCTAGTGCATTGAATTCAATAGAGCCATCTTTCTTTTTACTTTTCTTTTCTTTTCTTTTTTGTCGTGTTAGTGCGTGCATGTTGGGCCCGGGGGAGGGGGATGTTGACGTGGCATTTTAATAACAATAATGACGTTTGCACTACTAAACATCTTTTGAGATATAGGTATCATGCCTGAGCAGAAACTGCTTGAGTGACGGTGTACTCAGTCTCTGCCTTAAATTGCCTCCACAATGATTTGCACTGAACAGGTGTGATCAGTGTTTTTGACGAAGGAATCTGCAATTAAACAGTGAATAAGTGCTCGAAGCAAATAAAAGGCTCTTATTTCTGCATTACCTTCAGACAGCTGCAGCATCAATCAGTAATCTAACATCTTTTTTTAGCCCAGATAATCCAATTTTCACAAGTGCAGATGACAACATTAAAACTAGTACAGACAATGGGGCCTAAACTCTTCCATTCATTTTCATAAGAGACAAAAGAAATTGAAGATCCGCATTAATTGAATCAGCACGATAAAGCAAAACTCACCTCTTCCCATGTGCTGGAAGCCAAGGGATCTACTGTTGTAATGCTCCTGTCAGTGGCAGTAGGCTTGGTGTCCAGTAAAGCAACGGACAAAGTTTTCTCGATGTTATCTTTCTCATCATCCAAACGCACTGCCGCCATTACAGACAGCAACTTTAATGACTGCAAGTCATTGAATCATTTCAATGAAATATTCCCAAGCAAGCAACATGAGAAACATGTAAAAAATTTGCCGCATATAAATTCATACCGCGGAACGAGCAAGTTTTGTGATTGCTCGAATATCTTCCTTCCCTGTCCAAACTCTTGGTATAGAGTCAGCGTCATGGCAGAACAATGTTGCAAACCTGGATAGAAAATGAAGCACATAAGGATATCAAGAGGTATTGAATCTAACACACAAGTAAATCACAAGCTCAAAAGAGTGTGTCTACCGGTCCTTCATGTGGGTGAGGACTCTTCCAGCTTCTTCCCTTGCTTTCCCTTCAACCACGCCCCTTGCATGATCTTTTATACCTGCAAGCATTTTTTCCTTGCTCTGTTCATCCAGGTTGAAACCAGAAAGGGCACCAGAGAACCCAGCTACTGCTGATTCGGTCTCACGTGAAAGAAGTTTCCTGATAGCCAACCAGGTTTCATTATTAGCTCCCTCCAAAAGAGCTTCCACTGGTCCAGACAATGCTTCATTCAGTTTTGCCTGTACAAACATAATATAATTTGTGCAGACCCCATCAACCACCATTAAGTGAAAGGGGAAAAACCCTCCATCTGTGAAAAGAGAAGCTCAAGAGCAGAAGAAACATCTCTGTTTGTTATGCTACCTCATATGCTTTTGTAAGCTCAGAGAGCTTGGCAGCACGGACTGAAGCAACATGGGCATCAATGTCACGCCGCAGCGTCTCCCGTACTCTAGATGTATCCCATTTGGCTTGTTCAATTACAGCATCTGTTCAAAGTATGATATGAAACTTATCCATACAGTTGGTGGTAAAATTCCTCTAATAACAAGCCAAAAGTAAGTTAAGCATGGCACGAACCTACAAAAAGTTTCCTAAATGCCCAGAGCGTTATTTACTAACAAGACTATATTTTCACATCAGTCTCCAGTCTCAGACACAAACGTTCATTTCTGATAGATACAAGTAAAACAACTAATAGGCCACCAAGGGAGTGCAAGTGCATGTACAAAAAGAGTCGAAGAACCAAAAAAGAGAGTAGTTACAAGACAAAGAACAACTACAAACCTTCATTCTTGGCTTACTTTCTCAGAGCATTAACTTAACAACATTAGGCCAAAAGAACGCATTACAAGTTGACGTACCTGCACATCTTTTGTCAAATAGAGCCATATAAAACTGAGTGCAGTCATGAGCAGCCACACGAAACCCTTCTCCTCCAATCAAAGCCTTATCAAATGCTTCCTTGAACTTATCTAGAGTTTCGCACTGAATATGTCCAAGAGCAGATTGGAAAGCCGGTTGTACAAGCTGACGAGTCCCACAAAACACGATAAGCAACATATGATAAGATATCCTCAACAGACAGTCTCTCTTTGTAAGCTAACTTCAAATGAAAACATCATGACTGAAATAAAAGTGTGTCAAAAAGGAAAAATATTTCCACGTTCCAAGTAGCTTGAAGTGGTAGTCATACAATAGAACCCAAAAAATGATGCATTTTAAACAAAGAAAAACATCCCATAACTTCTTACTTGAAGTAATTTTTCTTCAAGCTGCTTCCGCTTCGAAGATCTAACACGCTCGTCAAAATATACAACCTCTGATTCATACCTAATAAGGAGCACAAGAAACTTCATAAATAAAATGTACTTATAGTGATAGACAAATTTCTAACCATGACAGAACATAATCTTCACCCAAAAATAAAACAAGGAAACATCACAAATAGAACAGGGTCCATAGCTATGGCCAAATTTAGCGAAGCCGTCAGCTAGGCAACTGCTACAATATTAGGAAAACAGATCAATCAAATGAGAAGATGATTGCTCGAAAGCAACCATTGTACAACGAGTTGAAATTATACTCAGATTGTGAGTGAAGGTGGCCATTTCCAAAATGGAATGATCACTTGAATAGAACAGCTATATCCCATCTACACAGGCTAGACCTCAACAGCTATATCACATCTACTCAGGCTAGACCTCAACAACCAGATAGTAGATATATCAGAGAGGTAAACTTGTACAACCTAAAATTAAACAATATAAACTTCAAAAAAGCCGGGGTTTCCTTTAAGTTTGCTCTTCAAAATATGCACTTCTTCCAAGAAAGAAAATGCTCCTACTGCCCCCACTTCACGTATGGCAGGAACAACATAAAGAAACAACATTCTAAGAAGTAAGAACATGAAGCCGACCGCGCTGGATAACCTTAATGTACTTGCATTATTTAATAAACATAAATCCAGTTGCTGCACCAGCATCTGTAATTCATCACATAAAATACTTATCTTACCCTGATAGACAAGCCCCAAGAATTGAACTAAGTTTCTTTCCAAAACCAGGAACTGGTCCCGACTGCACAGCCTCTTCAATCACACGCCAATCCTAACATGTTCAAAAGAGTTCACCCAATCTTATTATGTGTATGATAAAATGCATCTGCTTGCATTTCAAAATAGCAAAACAAGCAAGCAAGTTTAATGTCCAGCAAGAACCAGATCGATACCTCATTTTCAGTAAAACTGGAATACTTTTCGTGGGCAATTTCTTCACATCGTACAGTAGCAACCATGACCTTAACATGGATAGCATGACGCGTACATTAGCATTCTCATTATCGACAATATATCCAGTTGCCTTTCAATTAATTAACTCTCACCTTGTGTGCAGGCAAGTCAAGGTCCTTATTCTCCTTAATAACCTTCCACATCTGCTGAGCACTAAAAGAAAATCCTGAAGCAGGAACTACTCCCCTTCGATCTCCTGCAAGCCCACCAGGTGCAATAGAATGGAAGAACCGCTGTCTAAGGCTGGCCACCTTTTCGTCCAAGGAAGTTCAACCATATGGCAAAAAATCAGTACAGATAAAAGGTATAATCTATCGGGCAACCAATGCTCCAAATTCCACAGAAGAGCAAAAGAAGATGAGATGGAAACATAACACATCTCAAAGTAAATTTGATTAAGAATGGTAACAGAAGAGTAGTGTAAATAACCAAACTCAATAAGGATGTTTAAGCAGTGATAAGCCCCAAAAAAAATAAGAAGTGGCTGTCAATGATGAGTGGCATTTACACAGATATTTCAAAACTAATGCTTATGAGGACCAAAGTTTTGTCTTAAACAGTACTCTTTTTACAGGATTTATGCGAAGGAAAGGGCGCCCACTGCAGCATTTGAAAATCATGTCCAAACACAACAACAAAGCCGACATAAAAATTGGGCAATCGTACTCTAGATCCAAACATGCCTTCATGTGGTACAAGGTAGGCATACCTGCTCTTTGAATTGCTCTTCCTTCTCTTCATAACTAGAAAGAGCAACAACCTCAACCTGGACAGCAGAACATAGTCATTAGGATGAACTTCCTTACGACAATTAGAGGCTAAAGCAAATTATTGACAGGAACTCATACAAGCATGGAAGCACCTACATTAAAAAATTCACTGAGAGGAGTTTCCTTGTGTGCTTGTGGCTTAGGAACATTGTCCCATATCTGCAGGAAAATGCTAAATGAAACCAGGAACAACTTTACAAAGCCGATTTTCAATAGGAAATGAAACAAGCCTCACCTTCTGCACATCTTCTCTCAAGACAGGTTCTAGATTTTCCAGAGGAGTCTGGATAAAAGGAAAAACCACAGAGCATATAAAAAAATCAACTCAGATCGGTAAAACTCACCAGATGCGGCCAAAACGAGCAGATAAAAACCATTGCAATCCAAAATGAAAACATAATTAAGTATAGGTACCAACCCTTGTTTTATCCCGTATGACAAACAAAAGAGTTGTTTTCCGAGGACTAAACAATCGCATCATGACCTTCAAGAAGAGTCACAACTTTATCATTAACTGTTAGAACTAAACAATTAGCTTATCTTAATGCATGAAGACAAGAAATACCTGGAATACAGTTTTCAGAAGAGGCTTGTTGGCAGCTTGTTCACGGCCAATATCATGACACCACCTATGAAGAAGATGCTTAAAAGGGCACTAAGAAAATACTAAAACAACAACCTCGTAGACAACATTGCAGAAACAGAAACAGTATCTCACTAGAGCAAAGCAAAAGCCTCACATGTTAATGAGCACTATATCGGAGACAGCCAATGCGAAAAGTGCACTCTGCTTTTCAAAAGCAGTATCGTCCTGAATAAAAAAAAAAACAACCGGTTAAGAAGCTGCGAGAATGCTAATTGCTGCTTACTCAAACCAAGTGTAAATCAGGTGAGTTTCAATGAGCATCGGCTACACACAAATCAATCTTCTGGGTTAGTAAGATGAGTAAAGACATACAAAAGTGCAAAAAAGTTAGGATAATATGGCAGCTACCCGATGCACAAATTAATGCTTCAACATGTACAAAAAATAGAATTTGCAATTACTTTTTTGATAAAAATAAGTAGTTAAACATTAACAAAATAAGCTATTATATCTCCATGTAATAACATACAGTAAATATACCTCTCCTCTTTCTCTTCCATCGGTTCCCTCCAAGTCCATAACCAAAGTACACGGTTCAATGCCAGCACCTTTTGCCAGCCATATACCTTTGGTGGTTTGGGACCTGGAAAAATACCAAACTGGTTTTAGACTTTCTGAATCCAAATCCTTCGTTAGAGTGAGCTACCAGTTGGTTTGTAGACATGCCTCCCTCTAAAAGCATCCATCTCCGTAAAGTTGGTGCCAAATAGATGATTTAACAGTGTACTCTTCCCTGTCAGATATCATACACAAACAAGAGAATAAGTTTATAACTCTTCTAAAGGCACAAGAAAAGATACATGAAGATACAACAAAAACTGCAATTTTCCACACCCTCAAGCCAAAGGTTTTGCTGAAAGTAAAAATTTAAGGCGAAGAATGGCGAACCAATGAATTAAACTGAATTTGACCATAAGGAAGTTATTGGGAGTATATAATACACACCACTGCTCTGAGGACCCATGATGGAGACAACGGCGTATGAAAGGCCACATTCCTTCAATTTGACCTCCTTGATGAAACCTTCCAGTCCATCAACATTGAATGTTCCATCTCCATCAATAAGTTGCGTAGAACAACATTCGCCAGAATTATCTGAGGAAACATATGTCCAAATCAGCAAGTCGAAAAGAGAATGACATGATAAGCCCATACACTGTGCCTAGAGTAGACAAGACGAAACTAACAACTCATGATCGAGAATGAAAACCTCAGATCCTACATATCGCAAAAGTATCTAAATGGCGAGAAGTTCTCCCGAGGCTGACTTCATTCTTTCAACAATTTTATGAACAACATATTTAAAGGTGTGAATTAATCCCTGTCAACCTTTCGAAACACAGCTGTCAACAACAATCTAGAAATCCATCTCTGCACTGCTTGGGACATGATTTTATTGACATCCTGTTAGACTAACACCTTTTGAGAGAGACAATTCATGTCATCAGCTACCCTTTGCAACACCGAACAAAAGGGTTCTAGCAAAGAAACTTATTGATCTTCACAGTCACTCGCACAGCCTCAAATAACTAAAGCTCTCTTTTCTCCGGGCTTTCGAGAGCTGAAACTATTCAGCCCCCGCATTTGCCTTCCCAGATACCGAGCTAACCCAGCAGCCAACACGATCCGAAACAGAGACGGGAACAGTCATTGCCCCGCGCGACAGCCGTCCGGATCGAAATCGAAGGCAGCCGCGAGCTGTTATATATTGGCCATTGGGGTGACGAAAACCAGCAGATGCATTAATTCGGCATTACAGGCGGGAAGAAACTTAAAGACCCAACAACAGTTACGACAATACCTAATTAAAAAACCCCCCCAAACCAACGCCAAATTCAGAGATTCCAAGAAGCGATTGAAACATCGCTGTCGCGATCGGACGCTTCGATCGCGAAGCAGAAGAGAGCGCAACGAAGAGCGTAGCTCGAACACACGAACGAAGAGGATCGAGCAAATTACCCATTGGCGAATGGATCGTGCAGGGGGCTGGATCCGAGGAAGCGATCGAATGGGGGAAGCCTCGCGGGATTCGGTCGGGCGAAGATGGAGATCTCGATCGATCGGGCGATCGATCCGTCGAGAGCGAAGGCGGAGGAAGGAGGGAGACGGTGACGGGATCCTCGGAAGAGAGCGGTACGTTCGTATTTCAACCTCCGCTGCTCGCCAGAAAAGTAGACTCGAACTGGTCCTTTTGTTGATGGGGAGAATAACAGCACGTAAAAGAAATAAGAATATTCGACTAAAAAAATAATAATTATTACAATATTTCTGTAATAAAGTAACAAATTATTATTATTATTTTGGTCGGAAGAAAAGGGGGCTGCGTTGGAACCATGAATTTCTTGGAGTTCGAAATTTTTGCGGAAAAAAAAAGAGAGAGAAGGATTTACTAGCCTTTTTTTTTTTGGTCGGGAGAAGGATTTACTAGTTAAAGAGTGCTCAAATGTATATGGGTAAGTAACGAAACTATAATCGATTGATTTTTCTCATCACATTATCACAGTTATTTTCGAGATTGTGCCTTTTTTAATTAAAATCACAAATATCTTGTAATTGATTCGTGTGAAATCTCGAATTTGATTTGGGATGGCGTGATTTGTTTTCATAAAATATCATCGAGCAAGCAACTTGTCACGAGTATTTTCCGATCGACATCGGTGTCTAGGAGGTCAATTTATGGCTTATATTCGAAAGTGATTTTGTCATTTTGGCTGTTCTTGTACAATTTGATATTGGATTACTGTTTAATGTCGAATACCTTAAACGCTCTCAAAATCTCGCAGATAGATATTAAGGTGCAAGTGTCCTTCAAAAAAAATTCGTAATTCACTAGAATTGAAATTAGTTCTTTGTTTTTCGAAATTTTCTGAGAGAAGGGGATTTTAAAAAGCTTAAAAGTATGTACAGCCTTTAAAATTAGTGTGGAGAATTACTTATTGTACCTTTTAGTAACAAAGAATGACTGGGAAGCGAAATTACATGGTAGCCCGTGCAAATTTTCATAAAGTCAAAATCAAGTTTATACTGAGGACACCTCAAAAAGACAGTGAGATACATCATAATTTCTAGAAATGTTCATTAGCCCTGAACGAGACGGTTCGGAGTGGTTCTCAAGGGAATTGGTCAAATTCCCGATTCCAAATTTTCAAAACCGGATCAACTAAACCGAACCAATGGAATCAATCGAATCGAAAGTATATTTTTTAATTCTGTAAGGGCAAAAAGTACAAATTATTTGTGGGAGTAATGTCTTCTTTCACTAGAAACTTCCTGTGAAGGCTGTAATTAGTAATTTAATTTTACACTAAAGCAACATTCAAAATATTTAAGAACTTTTGAGAAAGAAAATAAAAAATTTTCAAAAAATAACACCGCCGGTTCCATGGTTTCATAGACTGTGAAACCGGTCCCGGTTCCCATTCTAGTACCGATCACTCTTAATAATTTCTTCGAAAGAGAACGAGTAAGTTCTAGGAAAATGAATAAATAGCGGATTAGAGGAAAGCTTGGAGTGGGGTGGACGTGCATCCTAAATCTCGATGGAGTGGTTTGCACGTGAGCGGAGCACTTTGGTAACTTGCGCCATGGATTCGACAGCTGACTCCTGTCTTTTGTCTTTTCCATCGATGGCACAAATTTTGTTACCAAACGATAAAGAATTAGGGCTTAATCCCACATTGGCATTACCAAATTACACCTTGTCTTTTAACTTTTGCTTTTGTTGACCAAAAAAAATTGCTTTTCGCATAATTTTTGCCATTTGATTTTTTTTTTCCATCCGAAACTCTCGAGGCTTACGTGACATTCATCCATCGGTACGAAAATTTAAATAATATATCGAATTTCGTTTAAATAAATAAGTCCATTTTAATAAGGAAAAAACAACACATATGGTTTCTGAATTTTAATATAATGTGCAATTTCGTCCTTGAATTTTTTATTTTTTCAATATGACCTCTGGAATTTGATCCATTGCTCAATGCAGTCAATAAATTTTTAAACATTTTCATATAATTTATGGCGTATATTAAATATCTACCAATAGTTCAAAAACGCATTAAACAAATTAAAAGTCTAGGGATGATATTGCACGTTGGGCCAAAATTCAAAGACGACATTGTACAAATTAAAAGTTTATAGATAACATTTCACATCGAATATCGGGAATCATTTGTGTTATTGAAAGTAAACAAGCACTTAATTGTTCATCAACCCTCGAGTCAACTCAACTTTACCTGAATTTTCGTTTTGCACAGTGAAGCGAATGGGGAAAGCAAGTCAAGGTGGATGGGCTTGAATGATTTCCATTGGACGGGTGACCCCTCAAAGCTTGCCAAAGCGCATGCGCGTGTCCCCAAAATTCCTCTTTTAAAAAAATCACCATGATTATAATAATAATAACCACATAATTATCATTTTCTCATAAGCAATTTCTCAATTTATATTTTCTCTTCGAACACATCCGAAAATACCCATGGACCTTTGACTGGCGTAATTATAATTTTAAACGTTTATCAGCCAGTCGATTAAGTCTCTAATACTTAGTCTGCGGACTTTTTCGATTAAGTCCCGAATTTATCTTTAAGCATGGTTTAATTATGAAAAGTTGCACCTTTTTTTTTTTGGTCGAGGAAAAAAAAAAGAGAAAAGTTGCACTTGACTGGCCATATTAAATTCGAGAATCAACTAAAAAATGAGAATATTAGGATTTTAATATTACTAAAACGAAACTGACGGGCCCTACTCGATCGATTTGCAGAGCTGTCATTGCCACTTACCCCCCGTCCCACCTTTTTGATCAAGCCGCTCACCGCCGCCGACTCCCGTCCGGTGGGCCCATCTCAGCCGTCCATCTGCTTTCTTTATTTGAAATGATGCAAAAAGGACGGTGTGATGCGATTTTGGGTAGAAAGAGAGAGATCCCTCTGCGTTCGCAGCGCGTGGGACTAACGACTCGATCCTGGCCGTCCACGTTGCATCTCCACCGGGCCTTTCTTTATTTCAAAGTGGGTCCCACACGTGTGACCTTTACTTGCTTTTTCCAAATTTTCTTTATCTCTTTTTTCTTTTTTCTTTTTTAATTTAAATCCCGATTGCCCATTTAATAACAAAAAAGAAAATCGAGACGTTCCAAATGCACAGGCACATCTCTGTCGGTGATTTTAATTCCTCGTCCCGAAAGTCGGCGATTTATAATTGCTTCACGGTCAATAAATGAACAATGAAGAGCTATCTAGAGTAAAGAAATGAATGAAGAAGAGTATGGGTTTGGCGTATGCTGCTACATTAAGTAAATTTAATCCAATTATTGTATAGACATGGACAAATTGGGACAACATTTTTTACCCGTCACGCTTGAAGTTGAGCTAGGTAGATCTGTCCCATGAAGTCCGCGTAGGCCTATCAACTTTACGATAGAAAAAACGGTTAGAGTTATTTAGCGTATGTTTGGCATAACTTTGTCAATGGATTAATTTTTCAGCCCACAAAGATGTTTTTTGGCTTAAAATCACGAATAAGTTTGGAAGGCTCTTTAGACAAAATTTAAACATTTGACCCCTCCCATATCGTTTGGTATAAGCAGGATGGAAATCGTGTATTTTGTGTTGCGTGGATTTGAAAAGTCAATTTTTTAAAAGGAGACATAACCGAGAAAATATGTTCTCTAGCTAATAGCGTATATTAAAATAACTTGTGTGAACGCACTAATGTGAAGATATGATAGAAATTCTCCATCGCTTAGCCCTAATGTATTTCTTTTGGCCAATTTCAGCACTAATCGAGATGATGGGTAATGAGCAACCTGTGCGTGGAGAAAGGGATTGGAATCTAAGTGGAAATTGCATAGCCCTCTTCAATTTGTTACCATTGCAAAATAGAAATCAACCGGAAGAGATTACGCTCCCGTGCGTGACCCAAAAATGTTGGAAGACTCATTTAGTCACGAGCAAGTTTAGAAGGCTCTTTAGGCGCAACATAAGCACCCGACCCATCCCGTTTTACGTGATTTAAAATGGCGAAAAATGTGTATATATGTTGCGTGAATTTTATTTCTATTGTATCACATGTATAATTAAAACAACAGTCGAGAAAAGTGTTTGCTTTAGTGCTCAACACGTAACACTTGCCTTGCTTCTGTAATTGACACATGATAAGTCGCGTGATGTAATTGTGCTACATGACCCGTGTTTAATCACTTAACACTGGCTTAGGCATCCGTTTTTACTCAACATTTTATCACTTATTAAATTTGATTTTAAAAAATGGATAAAAATGTATATTCAAATGTATTATCTAATGTATTCTACTAAATAAGATATACGATAATACTTAACGCCTTTACCTAAATTCCGACTCGAAGGGTCTACTTTGGGGGCCCCGGGTCACCTTAGGCCTGCCAAGCTTTTTCTGACCTTTTTTACCTTGTGGATCATCTAAACTAGTCTTATTTTCAAGCCTTATTTATTGGCCTACGTGATATCATCATGGCAACAAAGAAATTGATCCGAACTAGTCAATAAGGTGGTCCATGACATTTTTCCAAGGTCAAGATGCGAACTCAATGAATCATGTGTGTGCGAGAGAGAGAGTTTGATGGATGAATTGGGTTGGGGGTTGAGCGAGGCAAGTCTCTGAGAGCACTGGATTTCGAGGGCGAGAGAGGCGAAGGCGAAACATAGACGAAACAGAGCAGGAGCGAGACGGATACGAGACATGGAGGAGGGGGGAGTATCGAGTGAGAGAGACGAACTCGAGAGCAAGGAAGGAATCGTGATCTCGAAATAGAAGTAAAAAAAAAGGATATATCTCGCCCCCGTGATCTCGTTATCGAGAATTATCTCGATCAGCTCATAGAGTCGCCGGGTGAGGAGGGCGAAACTCAACAATGGACACCACGAGGTGTGATCCACAAAGCAAAGAACACATCCTTAGGCAAAATCGCATTCACCCCGTGACAGTGATAACTCGTCTCTCTTTTGTCTCGCCTCTATCTATGGAACTTATCCATCAACTATCATCTCACGAGAGAAAACCCCATTAAGGTCTATCTTATTCCAAGATATACATATCTCTACTTGAGCAGTATATACATATTCACCCTCATATGATTTGGTCAAAAGTGCCGGACAAATTTATCTCTACTGGGATTTATTGATTTGGACCCTAATTTAGTGGATCGCATA